TATGTAATAATTCAAATGGACAGGAATGTAATAAAACTAATCATGAAAGATAGAAAGGAAAGATCTAGTGATATATCAATCTTCAGTACAAATAATCAGCCTTTTCTTTTAGGGACTCTTTAGGGAACAGTTTTTCATTTGCATCCAATGCTTGAATTTCCCTTATAAAGAAATAATTTCCATATAAAATTTAGTATTTATTTTGATTAGTGCCTAGTTCTTCGATATTGAATGTTCACTATTCAAATGCTCAATATTATGAAATTTTTCCTTAAATTGATCTAAATTTGAAACAAAAGGAAGACCAAGTAGTAAAAGATGGCTGAGAATGATTTTCCAACAAGGTGTTTGGATCATAAGGATTATTTGAAATATTTTTACAAAGAATTAAGTATGAATGGCAATCCTTCTAACAGAAATAGATATTGTCGGGAATTTGAGGTTGCAGTTTCTAGACTTTGTAACAAAAATGTAAATCTGTTCAGTGTCCAATCAAGAGACTGAAGAAGGTTCAACTGCTGTTTCAAGTTTAGATGGACAATAGGATAATAATTGCATATTTTCTCACACTGGACCTTAAAACAAAGATCGGTGGCTTTAAATGAGCATAAAAGTTAAATTCTGTTTGATCAATCTCAGAAAGCTCCCTTGTCCTCAAATTGAGTTCCTGGAAAGTTCATACCCAAACTACTCAAGTTGAACGCACCAACAAAAATTTTTTGGTCTGCGAAAGAGTGCAAATGTGTATATGCATCATCTAAATCTTAAACCCATTAACGGTCTTATCCCAAATACTAATGGCCTAAGATGAGGGATCTAATGCTCTCAAAGTAAATTTACAGAATGGTTTGTATCACAAATTTATGGAAGGGAAAGGAGAAGGGAAGTCAAACTTACCTTTTTGCATTTGAGACAATGAATGCTTCCAAGGCCCAGCTTGGATAAAGCAAGTCTGTCGCAATCTTCATAAATTTACTATCTTTCGGCTGAGTTGAAAGGAGAGTCAAAATCACAGGTAGAAGAACGGAGCACTGCATGATATGGAAGAATTAAAGTCAGAACAGCAGATATCTAATTTGTAAAATGCATGTTTGGTAGGGTGGAGTGGACTGCATATATTTATGATGAAAATGAAGCTAAAATCTTGTCAGGATATATTGTCCAGGCCTCTCTAATACTAGGTACCAAACATGCATGAAATGGACAAAGTAAAAGCCTTGTTGAGGGGGTGCTAATTACCAGCTGAGATGGACCGGGTTCAAGAAAAATGGCCAACGCATAAGCTATACCAGTCACACAATAAATAAGGCAGAGCAAGACAATGTAATTATCTAAGAAGGAAGATCTCGGATTGCTGAAGAAAAAGAACATTGAGAGGTAGACCAGTGGTTTAATTAGTGTATTGAAATGGTCAACTGTATCTTTTGCGACAAAGTGAGCCAGGCTACTAATGCCAGAAGCACGTTCTCTGCGGTATTGCAACTTATCCAGCGAAAATGTCCTCAGAGCCGCAATTTTGCATAGCAAAGCTGTAATAAAAAGAAAGAAAGATGTGAGTGAAAACACAACAAAGAGTTTATACGAACCAATTCAACTCTAAAAGTATCAAGTTTAAAATTATAATTGAGAACCTATTGAATTTATAAACTCAATAGAAGATAATATGTATTAATGACAAATCAAGAAGAGACCCAGATTATTATTGAAGAAAATTGGGATGTACATTCAGCAATTAAAGTTCGTTCTGCTTACATGTAGCTATAACTGTGTAAGTATAACCAGGTGCACCGAAGCTTTCATCACTTGCTTTAGCAATTGATCCCAAACAGGCACCAGCAAGTAACAAAATAAGATAATCTATTGCTTGGATTCTAGCTTCCCGTAGTCGCTGCTTAGCAATCCTGAGATGAGTATGATTACATAGAATATCAGAAATACAATTTATCAGTCACAGAAAAAATTGAGTTTTGAGACCAAAAAGGTAGCTTTCTCAACCTTCTTCAAGTAACAGTTCGGTCCAAAATCATTGCACGAGGAAGCTAGGGTGCGGAACTAGGTAGACAATTGTGTAGTACTAAATGGCTTAGAATATTCACATTTCCCCTAGTTAATGAGTCTTAAACTTTATGAGAAAGTGTCCTTTTGTGTGAATATCCACATATTCTCAAGCAATTTGAAATTCAGTATTCGATAAAATTATTTAATTGAAGTCTCAAGACATTCTTTCAGACGATAGCCTTTGATAAAATCAAATTAAATAGGTGCTACACAATTACAGTTCTCAAGGCAGTGGATAAGTTATCTTTGCGGTCAAAGTTGTCTGAATTGAAATTGATCTACATTTAGCTCACTCATGTATATATATCAACGTGATTCAAAATGGGGAGCAATGGAAGTGGTCAACACGGAGAGTGCAATAAAATTATTGGGGAGATTATAGTACCATCATATGCTGTTTTTGAAATAAGACGAGGATGTATGATGGGATAAACTTCTTCAAGAATGTGAGGGGAAACTTCTGACCAAGGGAGTTACCTTCCAAGGAAATATATGTACTGTTGGAAAATGCTAGGAGTTCTCCTCTGGGATAAGTCCTTTGACCTCGTGAAATTGTTCTGTATAACATCACACAGTGCTTCCACTTTGTATTTTACATTTTGCCATAATTCTCCCCAGAAGGATAGTTCCTCAGTCCGAAAACTAGCAGAGTTTTCTTGATTTGTTGAACTGACATTCACCTCAGGAGTAAGAAGCCCGGAAATTTTTTTTTGCATATCTGGAGGTAAAGGATAACCTTTATGAAGCATCCATCTAAGAGGAAGTTCTTCATAACTAACATTTGAGGTTGTTCTTGGTTTAATCATCCCCTCCAGAACATCTATAAAATAGTCTGGAGGATTAACATGCTCTGGGACATTGACACCATGATGTGCAAAGTATTCTTCAACTTCCCTGACTGGCCCATGGTAAACAGTAAGACCCCCTTTTGCTAGAAGTATCAAATCATCAAACATGTTGAACAAGGTGTAGCTGCAAAAGGAAAGTGATCCCTCAGTTATTGACAGAATGATGAGGCTAATGTTTCATATTTACTTATGGGTGGGGCAAGATCTTCTATTTCTTTCATGTTTTCTATAAGCTATATAGTTCATCTGGGCAGAGATCAACTTTCAAGAAATAGTGAATAATATTGCCAATACATAAATGCATGATTTCCTGAGGTCCTGAGGAATCTTAATTGTTGTAAAATACACAAAGAAGAAAATACATTGCATAGTATTTTGACTTCCAAATTCAGTTATTAACATCATTTTCTGACAGTAATTAAGCTAAGTTTGCAGTAGTTCTCATGAAGTAGATAATCTCTATATTACATTGAACGAGCATTCTTTGTACCATTACCTAAATCTTAAGATGACTCCTTATTATGGTGACAAATTTGATCAAAGAAAGCATTTTCTCGATGTCAATGGTTGACGATGCCTAAAACAATAAAATTAAGGCTGCAATAAGGGGGCTCCCATGAGGAAAGAGAATTCCTTTTCACCTCTGAGTCCCAAGGTTTCTAATCAGAAGCTGTAAGGCTAAAAGTTAATCTTACAGCTGCTAGAGAAAGGTCACCACAAGAAACACTCTCATTGTATCTTTTCTTTTGTCAAAAGTGGGCTCAAAAAGTGAAGGAAGAAGAATTTGGCTAGTTCATATTGATATATGAGA